AGGTTATTTTAGTAATTTAATATCTCAAAAAGTGTATTTTTCAAAAAAAATTAAAAAGAATGTACTTTTCAAATTTAGAAAGGTAAATGAGGTATTTTTCCAAATTTTTTTCTTTTATTTGTGCACAGAAATGAAGGAATGCACAGAAATAGTTTTAGCTGCATCATTTGTAAAACTGCATTAAATAGAGTTTGCCAGAGTGCATATACTACAAAATGTCTTCGAAATACAAAATCCTCCAAAAATAACACAAGTTTATATTCATGTAAAATAAAACAACACATAGATAGACACTTACAACATATATAGGTAGATTATGGAGCTGTCATGTATATCCATCGCTTCATTGCTTAATCTAGAATGTGTGAAGGATGCGTATATATGCCTTTATCACATAGTTGAGTTCTTTGCTGATGTCCGCGGTTCCTCTTCGTTTAGTAGTGTAGCCAATCCTAGCTGGCAAATGACATTGAGTTCCAGAAGCACAATGGTTACAACCCCTGCTAATCCATGTTCTTCCACTTCTCAAAAATTCTAAAAAACCTGCATAACCAGATCTAGTGGATTACAGAGGTATATTCAGTTTATATGACCATACACTAAAAAGGAAAATAGACAACACAAACTTCCAATTCAATACTTTTAAACAACTTGACATATCCATAACATAGACTAGTTGTTTACATATTGTTAACATCAACACATATAACAGTTCTATGTAGAACTTTGCCTTTCAAATAGTCGTTTTCTATCACATAGAATAGAACTTTCACTGCTTATCATTACCTACTTACTACGCAGATCTGCAAATCGACTCGCTCACAAATGTTAACACTCCTCAATACCCACGCCAGACACAAACCGGATATATCTCGCCGAGTTCTTCGATTTTGTAACTCACATCAGGCTTCCAATTGACTGTACATATATAGAGAGGGATGAAAGAGAACCTTAGAGAAATTGAAGGTCAACGAGGAAGGAGTAATCGCGTCGGGTCATCATCAGGCATCGGTGGAAGAAGGATTGAGGGTTTAGGGAAGATTGAGAGACTTCGATTTCGTTCTTGACTTTCCTTTGGCGGTCTACGTTTTACTGGGAAAAAAGCAAAAAAAAGAATCGGAGGAAGAAGAAAAATGAGTAAGGCCGGTTATTTTTGGTAATATTGTAGAATATATACAAAATATCCTACCCTAAGTCAGATATGAGTTCACCAAATTATAATTTATTTCACTGTTATTAGACTAAATTTCTCTTTTTAATAAATGCTGATTTTTGTTTGCGTCTCATCTGAAATAGAGTTTTTTTTTTAGTTATGTGGAGATTTTCTAC